TGGCTCCTATTACCAAAAAAAAAACTAACTACACCCGGTTCAAATAAACCCTTGAAAAAGAACCGTGGTTTAAAGAAAAACCAAGGGGTAATTGCTACACTACCTAACAAAACAAAAAATCTTTTGGGTATAGAAGATCCGTCATCAGGAAAAATCCAATCTTTTTAAAAAACAAACACAGCTAAAGTAGCATGAAAAACCACCCAGACAATCTCCTCACCCCACACTTAAAATTGTGCATTGTCCCCAATGCACACCCATACATACAAGAGGGTAAAAGAAACTCCCTGGTAGGCCAAAGGCCGAAGCACTAGCAGTTCATGGGGTACTCAGACTTCTCCCAAGCTTGGTCCTTCGTGTGGGTACCTCACACTTAGTTCCAACCATTTGGTTTGCTGATGCATCCTTCCAATACCTTTGCTTTCCATGCTCCTAGAAAATAAAAAAATTGACACTACAAAAATAATACATTAAAAAAAATAAAAATAAAAATAAATAAAAGAAAGCAATAAAGCTGGGTTGCCTCCCAACAAGCGCTTGATTTAACGTCGCGGCACGACGCGAATCACTTTTTGCCTCCACCTCGAGCTTATGAATTGAACCCCCAATTTGGCATCAAGTTTTCGGCTATGATCCAGGGGTGGAGGAACAAATCTAATTGGTCCAAGCAACCATTGTACTATTCTACACTTCTTGGCTTTTAGATGAGGTATGTAGTCCTGTCTTTCTGGTAAGAAAAATTCCAGAATATAGGCACCTTGTTCTTCATTCCTTGACTTCTCAATCGGCTCGGATGACTCTATTTTCATATCGTCATCCAAGCACAATGTAGAAAAATATTTGGAGTGAGGACCAATGCGCTCACACACATGAACTTTAAGACTTTCAGCATCCTCAACATCAATGATACTAGAGTCAACAAAATTTGTATCCTCAATGTCCTTGGCTGACTCTAGTCTCACTTCTTCAACATTGACATCTTCAAATTCTAGTTGGCTAGGTTGTTGATGTTCTGCTTTGACCTCCCCAATTAATACCTCAAATTCATACTCTTCTTGGCTACTATCATCAATATTGGATTGTTGAGCATTGAAAGCTCCAACCACTTGACTCAATTGAGCCTCCAACTTGCGAATAGTTGCCTCTTGCCTTTCTATGTGCAATTGTTTCTCATTGTTTTGTTCTAGAAGACACTTTAGCATATCCTTGATCTACTTCAGGTCCGCATTCCCAAGTTCTTTGTTCCTATTAACTTCACAAGAAAAGGTGGAACCATCGTAGTAAGGGGTTGGGGGAAAATAAGAAATATAAGCACAACCATGAAGGTGACCATTTTTACCACCACACACATCACACACATTCCACAAATAAGATTGAGTTGGTGCACATAACTCGCTCTCAGGAACGTTTTGAAAATTTTGCCACGGGTGGTTTCCTTTACAATATGTATGGAGATCAATAGAAGAATTATCTACACCTAAATTCCCATAATTCCAAGATGTCATGTTTCTCAAATCAACAGTTATAAAAAAAATACCAAGAAAAAACAAAACAAAATAAAAGTTCAAACTTGAATCCTAGCAATATATACAGCTACAACTACACCATTAGTTCCCCGGCAACGGCGCCAAAATTTGGTCACGCCCAACTATGCCTTATAGAAAGGACAATGCGGTCGCTGCAAATATAATCCGGTTTACAAGTCCGGAGTCGAATCCCACAGAGAACTAAGGTTTAGCTACAGCTGTTCAATATCACCAAGAAGACAAGCTTGAACAATTCCTAACTTATAGATATTAAGATTCTTCTGTTTAACTAATTAACTAACAAATTAAAATAGTAAATTAACAACTAACGATACTGAGGGTTCGAGAAAAGATTAAGGAGGTCTAGAGTTATGATTTCCCTTATTGTCGGAATCCTTCCCGCTATGTCTTCTATAATTTCGCCTAAGTATTCTCTACCGATCATGAGCACTCTTATTACCGTAAATCTCTCCCGAGTAATTACGACAATTTACTAGACGCACTCTCCCGAGCTACGCTAGCTGGCTTTTAATACAGCTCACTTCAGATCGCACCCAAGGCTTCGTTATCCCTAATCCCACCTTTAAACCCTCGGTTATTGATCCCTCATATACTCTGGGAGTGGTGTTGTTCAACAATTACCTAAACATGCACTCTCTCCCGAGTTATGCATACTAAATAGTCACAGCTAATTGAGAGCTCTTCAATCAACCAGAATATAAACGTAGTTGAACAAATAGAGAAAAGCTATGGCTCAATTATATAAAAACATAACAAGAATTTATCCTACAAAAGGTTCTATCAAAACTCTAGATAACAAATTAGCTATTCATAATAGTATGTAAAACTACAATACTAAAAGTCATAACCAACAATGAAAAATAGGAAGAGGAAGGAAAAACTCGTAGAAGAATTCTCCGCCTTGCTCCCAATGTGTTCTTGCCTCCTTAGGTCGAATCTATGTCCAAAATATGTCCCCCCTCTCCTTCAAAATAGGTTTAGGAACCCTTTTATACAAGTTGGAATAGTGTAGGGCCGAAATAAACTTGTCCCGGGCGAAATAGGACTTCTTTTTGACGCCTGGAGGGGCGCGGCCGCGGTCAAAACGCGGTAGGACCGCGGCCAGACAAGCTCTCTAATTTCTGCCGCGATCAGTTCTGCGGTCGCGGTTTCGACCGCGTTCTTAACCCTGTTACGTTCATAATTTGGAAAAACGTAAAACATGAAAGTTGTAGCCCTTTGAGTTAGCTTTCCAACCATATATTGTGGAGCCCAAATGGAGTTCTGAGCAAAAAGTTATGTGCATTTTACTAGACAGTGTGCAATATGCCTACTCGAGTCTTCGTTTTGTTGTTTTATCATCCGTTAATCCCCGAATACGATCCCGGCTTAATTCCTTGAGCTTTTACTCAGACTTCAAAGCTCCAAATCACTTGAATTCATTCCATAACATCTATATAGCTCGGAATCACTCCTACAAGGCATAAAACACACCGTTAGTGCAAAACACTAGCGATTAAAGCGCAAACTCAACTAAAGTGCAGTAAATTAGAGTGTAATAATCGACTAAAATACGCAATTATAGCCTATCATCACTAACTTTCGGCAAAATAAACCAAATCAACCTAGGGACCTCCGAATTCAATTTCAGGCATACCCCAAGTCTAACATCACAATACAGATCTATCGGAATTGTCAAAATACCGATCCTGGGTCATTTACATAAAATTTTAACCTTAGTCAACTCAAGTTGTTTTTAAAGCCAAAAATCTTATTTCTTTAAAACTTTACATAAATTTTCGGAAAATGACACGGACTGTGTACGCAAATCAAGAAACATCAAATACAGTTAATAGAGTTCTCAAAATATGAAAATAAGAGCTAGTACTCAAAATCAAAATGACCTATCAGATCGTCACAATACTATTTTCGTATATAATATTTAATTCAATGGTGTATAATTTATTTCGTTGAACTGGCGAAGAAGAATTCGTACTGTATACCAAAATGATATGTTATATACCATTTTGGTATACAATTAATTCTAACGGTATACTATTAATTTACTATATAATGTAACAGTATACTATTATAATTTGCTCCTTTCAGAATTTTTTGAAATTTTTATTGAGTTCTTTTTTGACTTCTCAATAGAGTTCTCATATTTTTCTTAAACCAAAATATTTAGTCTGAAATATTTGATTGGAGGTTGTGGCTAAAGTTTGAGTCAATTTGGTAAAAATTTTGGAGTAGATTTTTTAAATTTAGGTTAAATAGCGAAGAAGACTAATTTGTACTATATACCAGAATAATATACTATATACATTTTGATATATTATATTTAGTTCAATAATTTATAATTTATTGCATCAGTATAATTATTACAATATATGGTATAATATAACAATATAGTTAAATATGAATTTTTTTATTTTTCAAAAAAAAAAAAAAATTCAATTGGTCCTTTTCAATGTTTCAACAGAGTTCTCGATATCATATTAGTCAGTATATGATATATAGCATGTGGGTATCATAATATACTGCAATACTATACTTCAACTGCTAAAAATATATTATTTTTGATATACTATATTCTAAAGTAAGTTATTTTTCAATAATTAATATAGAAAAAATATAAATAAATAAAAAGAACAAAAACAACGTAGCCAAAAAAGTGTCTAGTATTAGATTATGAAAAAAGGAAATAAAAAATATTTTTAAATAATGATAAATCAGAATAAAAAAATAAAATGGAGCGAAAAAGAGAAGAGAAAATAGTTATAACATATAAGTTGTTCTAATAATTAAATTTTAAAAAAGAGAAAGTAAGAAAAAAATACAAAATGTATATTATACTAGTTATATTAAACAAAAAGGTGAACAAATATTTACTTTATCAGTTATCTTTTCTTATTGTATAAAAATAAGAATAATAAAAAGAACAACAAAAGTCAATGAAATTAAATTATGAAGAGAAAAAGAAAATAAAAGAAAAAAGAGTTAAATAAAACTAGAAAAGGAACAACAAATAAACACATAAGCAAAAGGAAAAAAAATAAAAAAAATAAAGAATGAGCTAAAATTTAGTGTGAAATCAAATTATGGTAATAATAATATGATTGGGCAAAAATAAAGGAACAGAAAAGAAGAAAATAAAAAATAAGAAGCAAATGAGAAAAAAGAAAAGGAGACAAGAAAGAAAAGAAGGAAAAAAGAAAAAAAGGCAGAGAAATAAAAAAGAAAAGGAGAAAAAAAGAAAGGAAATTATCCACAAAGGCTATCATAGGTAAGAAATGTAATTAGTTTGATGGTTAGAAAAATAGATAAATAGATAATAGTAAATAATTTTGTTTTTATGATAATTGTGTCATTCACCCATTTTTAATAACTTTACAAAAACCGACCTTTTTTTCATTATTCGTCCGAAAATAGGTTAGCCCACGCTATTTTCACTTCAAAAATCTAGTTAGGCCTGACTGGCAGAAAGCCCAGTAACACGACATACCATGAACTGACCCAAATACATGACACAAACGTCGGATACAAGGGAACAGAGATTAGAAGAAGAAGAAGACGAAGAAGAAAAAGATGAACAAATCCAGCCAACGAATCTTTTGATGAAATATAAGTTGTCGTCTCTGAACGTGTTAATTCTCTGGGGGTTTCGGGCAGGTTCCAGTTCATCGTAAATAATCCAGCAAAAAATTCAAGTAAGCTTAGTTCAATATATTGTCTTTTTGTTTGCCTAGATATGTTCCCATTTTCTGCTAGATTTGTTGAATACTCTCGTTCTATGCAATTGGATCTTTAGCAATTTTCCCTCTAAATTCTCTTAATCTGGGAATTGATGTTGAATAACGTGTCGTGAATAACATGCTAGATATATGCTGAATGCTTCTGGTTGAATTTGTTGGTTATAAGTGGTATTTAGGAGCTTCTTTTTCCAGAGGCGGATCTAAAATTTCGGGATGATGGGTGCACCATTGATTTTAAGATAAATATTTTGTTTGATGATATAAAATTTTACATTCACATCAACTTAGCGAGCAAAAGTAAATTCATTATCGCAAAAATCTTCATCAATTACAATTGCACTCGACGAGTTTTCATACTTTTGAAAACGATCTATTATAGCATCATTACTTACAGTTGCAAATGCCTTACGCTCTATATTGCAAACTAAACAACCATTCAAAAATTCTTCACTAATACGTAGATCAGTTTTTATGAGCTTCAATGCGACCAGAGCATTGCAATTTCCTATTTTTAATTAAAAAAAAGAGAGAAAAATATATCATGATAAACAAAGCTAAATGACCAAAATTACAAGGCCAAAATTTGAAACCAAAAGAAAATCCCCTTTATTCAATATTACAGAGAAAAAAATCTCACAGTCGGAATAAATAAATAAAAAACATATTGATTAGTTTAGAAAAAGATTGGACCATACCTTGAAGGAAAATAGCTATTGCACAAGGCCACAAGCGGTCAATGGAGACAAATGTGTACTTTGATTCTTTGACTGCCGTATATTTTAGAGCAAGAGACAAGAACAATATTCAATATAGGGATTAGGGTTTTGCATTTTCTGGTCTTTGGGATAAATTGGGATTAGGAAATATTACTATAATAGTGATTGAAGAATAGTCAATAGATGATATTTGGGAATGGGGAAAACGGAAAGGTTCCAAGTGTGAGAAAGTTGGCAACTAATGTTGCTGCTGCGTCTTAGTAGAAAATGAAAGAAAAGCAAGATTTAAAAGAGAAAATTAAAACAAAAAACATAAGTGGGATTCGATCCCACGAGCTTTGGTTCCTAGGAATAAGCAGCCAAAACCAGTGCACCACCTCTCCTTTTTTGACCATGGGTGCCATCAGTTAATTATAAGTATTTTTTACAAATTATGTACATCATATATTGACTTTAGTCAACGGACCACGGGTTCACATGAACCACATTTTTCACCGTGGATTCGCCCTTCTCTTTTTTGTGTCTCTCTATTGAGTGGTTAGCCGCGCATGACAAATCATTCGTGTATATCAAACTTGTTTCAGGTGAGTGATAGTGGCATGATATGAAAATGAAGGTTTTGGCATGTTACTGATAGTAAATTATATTTGGGAAAATGATTCGCCAAAATATGCAATTGCTTGGGGAGGAGATATTTCTTAATTTTATGATAGTAGATGGCATCCAGGAACATCCTGGTATTCATTCTTGAGAGTTCAATTCTTTAATTTTAAATTTCACTGGGAAAGTTGTTCAGTTTACCTCCCTCCCCTCCTCTAGGCCTTCTACAGACCAAGTGGCTGCGGATGAGATCTTTCTTATGTTTAGATATACGGAATGGGGTCTTGATAATTTAATTAAATTCATAGGGCGAGTTGTTTTTGTTTGTATCTATGGCCAAAAGGTGAAGTTGGGTCTCTATCCACTCCCTAGCTTTCTTATTTTTGGTAGATGGCATAGGGGTGCATCCTGGTATTGGTGTTAACAACTATACCTCATCTTAAGCTAGTTGGGGTTATGAATTGTATTATCCATTTCACTCTACTTGTACCTGTATCATTCCAATATTCAATAACTTGGGATTCTCTAATACTAGAAGTTCTCTATTTTTCTACTGACATACAAATATGTAAAAGATTAAAATGACTCCTTTTAAGCATGAGAGCATATATAGTTATAGCAACATGACTGATTTCCTTATTCCTAAGTAGTTGGTATTATCTTTGAAATTCATGGGGCAAGTTGTTCATTTTTCATCTATGGTCCAAAGGTGAAGTAGGGACCCTGTCTCCGTCCATCCCAGACCAAGGTGGGGTCTGTGGAGGCGAGAGGAACCTAGATATTCGAGGCCTTCGTGGAGAATTGAATGATAATTGAAATCAGTGCTTTAAACCGTGAACTTGGTTGCCGTTCCCTCTTGTCTCCCTAGAATAGATGCGTGGGAAAATGCTTATGTTTTGGGAAAAGATGCCTTTGCTTTTAGGAAGACTCTAAGACAGTTGGGATCACTGGAAATCGGAGAATGAAAAGGTATGGAGAATAAGAAGGGTTTTTCTTTTTGGGTTGGGTTATGAGATAGAGGAGAAGCAAAAGAGGGGTGGATTTTGGTGGTATCTTCTATGTCTAACATGCCTAAACAAAATGATTTGTGTTGAGTTCTGAAGTTCACTTTCCGTGGTGACAGTCCAGGGAAAGAGTGTGTGGATATCATGCTCAGCTATGTTGCAGCTGAAGTGAAAGAAATATATATTACTTGTTGGAATATTTGAGCTAAGACTTTCTTTATAAATGCAGGTCTTACGCGGCCACAGTACTCCAGACACCAAATATTCAATTTTGGTTGCGGATTGATGCTGCATAGTTTACTAGCTCCTGTTGCCTTGCATGGTACAGTCTACAATATTGCCATCTTCTTCCAAACACCAAAGCCCAGCGCCCCCTCCCCCCACCCCCACCACCACCACCACCAACCAACACACACACAAACACAAAACAAAAAAGGAGATATATCATACTTTCACAGTGACTTTGACTGGATAGAGAGGTCTAATTTGGCCCATTTAGTTTCAGCTTCATAAACGTTTGGGTTATGGTGCCATTGGTTGAAAGAGCATCTGCTTTCAGAAGTTTTACATAATTTTCGCTGCTTAAAGATTTCCAGAATAACTGCAGGCCTTTAGTCACATAAGTTACTCTAGAATGTTTCATTTGTAACAATAATTCTAGCAACTGCTAATTGGCTGTTTCTAATGTTATTTCAGGATCCTGTTAACTCTTTGGATGATAAGTCTGAAAGCAGACTTGAATGGTTACACGTTTTGGTACTTTTCTCCAAATATTAGGAACTTGTTGAAGAACAGGGATGAGGGAGCTAATACTCATCGCTAGCTTAAATGATCTTGCTTGGCATTTCTACCACATGTGTTTCTTAATTAGTTTGTTTTTGCTTATCAGAGAAGTTAGAAGTTATAAAGCTGCTGCGCGCTTGGTTAGAAGGAGGGAGAGAGAGGGAGAACACACATGTGATGTCTTTTGACGGAGCTGAAAGGCCATGGAAATGTGGAAAAGGGGGTGCTGTGAATTTACAGAAAGTGAGTTCCATTGTCCGGGATATTGGGGAACCTTGCCTTCATCAATCATCAATAAAGGTAATGCCTTAATGACTCTTACCATCTATTAATTATCAGTTGTCACTTAGTTTTACAAGGATATTATATGATTCCTTTTCTGTATTGCCTATAGAGTTTTCGTACTCTATTTGCTTCTTTACTTTGTAAATTTATGATAAATTTTTGGAATACAAAAAAGTTTGATGTGTATTGTTGGCTTGTTGCATCTCTTGAATGCTTCTTTCTAGAAAAAAATATTTAATCTTAAGCCAAAAAATAACGGAATAAAGAATATATTTAGTGCAGGAAACAAACCTCGTTTGATGTATATGCAATCCTGCTTATTACCTTTCTAACAAGAGAGGAGGTAACCTTTGCTATTGCTGAGAATTTTGGTTTGTGCTTCTTGACCAACTATGGACTTTAAAAAATGCAACGATTGACTATGTGAAGTCCCAGTTGGATCACTAGTTTGTACCTCTGCTACTGTACTTCTATTTCTGTTGTTAATCAGTCAAAGTACTCTTGCTGCTTAATGTGCAGCATTTTCCAGCAGAAGAAAGGATTAGTCAGCAGGTCTTGGGACCCTTTTACCCATTCCCTGATCTGTGTTTCCTTCTTTTCCGTACTTAGTAGTCTTTGGGCGTGCCTGTACCCATATCAGCGAGTATAAAATTTTAATAAATCACATAAATAATATTAAAAAATATATGAAGTTACAAAATAAAAATTAGAAGAAAAATATTCAAGTTCCTGAAAACGATGAATGTTGATGTTATTTAACTAATTAGCAAAGGAGGAAATCATACCTCACAAAAGTCCTCAAATGCTCTATCAAAAGTATGTCTCCTAAGACAGTAATAAAAGGCAAAACGCAAAAATCGGTTTAAAAGTCGTTTTAAGAGTTTACCATTTTGATCTGACTGCCAGAAATATCTATACTATTGATGAGTCCAAAAACAAAGTAAAAGCAAGCAATTAAATAGAGTTCCTTATGGAAAAAAATTATACACTGATTAATCTGCAAAATATAAATAAGTTTACTGAAGGGGAGCCTTCGTGTAACCGGTAAAGTTACAGCCATGTGACCAGGAGGTCACTGGTTCGAGCCGTGGAAACAACATCTTGCAGAAATGCTTAGTGCACCGGGCCCTTATGGTCTGGCCCTTCCCTGGCTCCCGCGCATAGTGGGAGCTTAGTGCACCGGGCTGCCCTTTCTTATAACTATCCGTTGTTTCATTTGTTTGACATGCCATTCGTAGTTGAACTTCTGACTGAATTGACAACCCAAGTTTAGTTTTAAACTCACAGTTGCAAAAAAAGTCACCTATTCTTCCCTCTAAAAAAAGTCACCTATTCTTTAACTTCAACATCATGTCACAACAAATTGTCATAAAGTCTAATTTTCCATGGTCATCTATCTGCCCTTCATGACAGTTACCATAGCATGAAAAATAGACTTTCATATATCCTCTAATAATCACATATAGCATTTCTTACACATAAAACAGAAAAAACGGGACTCATGTTGTCATGCCTGATGACAGACAAGGCACCCGGTTTCTTAGCTGGTTCCCGGTTAACCATTCACACGCCGGCTTTAGGGGACGGACATAACACCAGGTTAACCCAACTTCCCTTTACTAAATGAATATAACTAATGCATGACTTCAGAAAGCATCGAACGTTACAACTTATCGTAACTTGTAAAATTATAAATAACCAAAAATAGTTATTCATACATGCCATATGAGACCTCAATCGGAGTGACAAAAGCATAACGTAACCTACTGCGTCTATGGAGCTTCTATAAAATTATGAATAAAAGAAATACTGGTGACAAGATGTCACGATCCAAGCCCATGGCACGTATTGTCCGCTTTGGGCCTAGGCCCGCACGAATTTGTCTTTTTTGGGCTACGCCACCTCGAGCCCTAAACGCGCGTGTACCATGTGAACTTAACCCATGCCTTATATAGTTCTTTACTTTCCTCTCCCATTCCGATGTGGGACTTGCCTAAGGTGACGTGTGCACCCCTTCTTCAAAACTTGCCAACCTAGAAGCCTGCTAGTCCTGCTTGACTCGCCCTCATCGGTCGGCCCTCCGTCATGGGCATCACGTTCATCCCCCTCTTGGGACTCAGCGTCCTTGCTGAGGCTTGCCCCACCACCTACTCAAAGATGTGAGTTTCGCCTTAACTTAGTTGGCCGTTGAGGTTTGCCCCACTATCGTACTGAGGGAGATTCGGCTATGATACCATATTTGTCACGACCCAAACCCATGGCACATATTGTCCGCTTTGGGCCCAGGCCCACACGAATTTGTATTTTTTTGGGCTACACTCTTATGCCGTATGTCCAAGGGATGGCACTTGCATTTCTTAAGCCTCCGGCTGATTTTTGATTTTTTGCTGTTGAACATGCTTTTCCTTACTCATAAATTATGTAGAATCAGGCGAGTTTGAAGTTCACCAGTCTCAACCCAAATTCTGGCAACGCCTTATTTTCTTTTCATAGTGAACTGATAAGCAGAAAGAAAGTTTCCACAATATACTTGCCACCATATCAAATATCCAGACCAGAAACCCAATCGAACATCATGATATCAGTCGAATGTTTGATATAGATACTTTAGTAAAAGGATAGGATGCGTTTTCTAGGATGAAATTCCAGTTGCTCATATTTGAAGTTAAGCAAATAAGGTCTATCATCATATGCACAATGTTTTCATCTCATGAGATATATTCTCATCAAAATATTGAATCTGATGTTTTAGCTTTATTTATGGAGGGTGCTTGACACGAAAGAGACATACCTCTTACCCAAATGATTCACAACATCTGCTGGGAGTCCATATTCTGCTCTGGTTGGTTATTGACTGTGCAAGATTTATCATCCAGACGCTATTCAAAGGATTTAGTTGGAGAAACCACCAACCTTCTAGTGCTAAGATACCTTCAGTGAAGTTGTAAATCCACATAAAGTTTTGGTCAGCAGGAGAATTTCCTGAATTGGCCGTTTTGCCACGTGCAACACTATTTGTTTGCTTGATTTCTAAGAAGAAGTAAAGGGCCTTTTGAACATATATTAATAAAGCTTATCTCTAGTGGTTCACCCATTTAATGTAATGAAGCTGCATTAGGAAGAATTCAAGAGACACTTTTGCTTGTGTGTCTGCTTACTTAAGTTGGAGAATTCATGTTTATTTCTTGTTTGCTAATGATGGTGATAAGGATATTATGAATGCTAATGTTAGCTGTTCAGAAAATATTGTGATTTCTTAAGCGAAAGTATCTAGGAATACAATATTTGTGTCGTAGGCGAGCTACTTCTTTCTTTCTTTTTTTTTTTTTTTTTTTTGTGAATAACTAAATAGGAATTTGGCTTTGTAAACTCAACTTTTATGGTGGAGACTTTTCCTTGTGCTTTTGATAATGATAAACCCAACATTCATGGTGGAAACTCTTTCCTTGTGTTTTTTGATGGTGTAGATGAGCAAAATGCTTACGCCTAACAGGTGGCAGGCTACCTTTGATAAGGATGGGAAGGTACATGGTTTTCGGAAAGTGCTGAAATTGATCATATTGGGGGTAAGGCTTCTATTTGTAGTAACGTTTCTGTTTTTGTTCAAGCCTTTTGTACATCGATTTTGTTAGCACGCAAATCGGATCTGCGTTAATAAGTGCTGAGGTAATTTTCAGAGAAATTATAAGAATTCACAAGGAAATATTTCTAGCATTTCAGTTTTTATTTCACCGATGCATAATGTTTTTCGTTGTGATGTAACCCCAAGAAAGTGAGAAGGGAGAAAGGCAAGGGGAAGAAAAAAAGAAAGGAAAAGCCCCCAAGGGAACGGTGTAGCAGTCAAAGAGATGTAGTAACAACCTAGGGAACTAAAGATTCAGATTCCAGCAAAGACACACCATGAAAAGCTTTCTCATCTGTCTAAACCTTAGTGGCCAGAATTATCAATGCATGTGCTAGTGGGAGTGGTGCATTAGTTGAGGTTTTTGTATTAGGGGCATATAACACCATTATCCGAAAAAGAAGAAGAGAAGATAATGAAGAATGGCAGAAAGAAAGACGAGGAGAGAGAAGAGAGAAAGAGGGAGAAAAGAAATAGAAAGAAAGAAAGAAAGAGGGTTAGACCGAAAGAAATATCGAGAATGGGGAGTGATTTTAATATCAAATCAATTCATCAGTTTTCATTATTATTGAATTCTTTTCCAAAAACAGTACATAATCTATTTATATGATAGTGAGTTTTGAACAAGTCTTAAAAGTACTAGAAGTCCTAGCACTAGTTTAAAAAAATAAGGTTATCTATAAACTAATAAATACTCTATTTCTAATAAAGGAGAAAGATAAATAAATATCACAGTTAATTTTAATTTAGTCATGTCGTTTTTGTAAAAAACTTCACGAGTGAGGCTGATAGTGCAACATCCAAAGATTTGGAGTAAATAAAATGAACATATCTTGAGTCCATGTAACCTCATATAGTGGTTGATTTTGATCATTTGAAGAAGACACCTTGATCATGCCCAACTATGACTATAAAATGGACTAAACAATCGTTGCAAATATAATTTTGCTTTAGAGTTCAGAGTCGAATCCCACAGGAAACTAAACCTTTTGATCACAACCTTATTGTATTTATTAATAAATCACAAATATGTCTTAGATGAACTGCATTTCATAGTATTAGATTGTCTTTAAAAATAGAAAGGAAAAAATTGAAGAAGAAGAGAAGTGTTAAAAGCGAATCATTCTATATAAATAGAGGTAATTTGTTCTGTTGAAACTTTTTTCCATCTTTGGTAGGGAAAGAGGTTACCGCGTAACTGAAATGAAAGAAACTATACTCGCATCTTTCCCTTCACTTCCGTTCTTTCTATTCTCTTATCCGATACTATATAGTTTTATATTTTATAATGATTTATATTTTTAATATATTATACAATGAACACCTAATCAAACTACCGCGCAAAATTTTGAATTCAACCCGTAATCAAATGAGTTTATCCCGCCCTCCATTTGTTTGAAAATTCACTCATATTCGTTGGCTCTAATTCCCGAGCTCATAATTAATTTTTTTCTCAACCAAGCTAGCTTTAACAACCCAAAAGTTCAAACGAACAAATTAGTTTAAATAATAAAATAATGTTCTGATCAACTGATATTTTTCTAATAATAATACCAAAAATTGGTATGGTAGGAAGACCCAAAAGTTATATAAATGGAGGAAGCATTGCAATCTGGAATCATCTTGCAAATTTGTACAACGACATCTTGCAAATTTGTACAACGAATAGTTTATACAACATAAATTTGAAAAGAAATATGTATTTTCTGCTTGAATACACAAATAAGAGAGAGAAATTATTCACAATGGAAAGTACAACAAAACTCAAGACTAAATATTGTCACAGTACGCGTTCGGTAACCAATATCAATTCAGCGATACACTCAAATTTTCAAATATGTTTTCTTTCTGCTTTCTCTATCTGTATCTTACATTATTAGTATTGTTTTGAGTGTCTTTTTCATGTTAAAAGTATCAAAAGTTTTGGGAAAAAGAATATTAGTTCAAAGATAACTTGGATCAAGAAAGTGAATTAGATCAATGCACTGTATACCGTGTTGGGTGTCTTATACCATAATCTACATTGTTTAATATACTGATAAATTAAGAACAAAGGCCTAAAGGTTGCTTTGGCTTCCAGCACAAAGATTAAAGGAACACATGAATTAACATGATTACTAGAAGTGATTTTACCAATATTTTACCAAAAACTGAGGTCTTCAATCTCGTTGTTATTCTCAAAAGAAGTCTGCTAGTTACAAAGCATAATTTGTCATTTAAGTAAGGCAAAATGATACACTGGAAATGAAAAACAAAAGGAAGAGAATAAACATAATTCATAAACAAAGCACAGAGAAAAATATGACAAATAGACCTGACGAGTGACACATACAATAATCACTCCAAATTGCTTAAAACAGAATAAAATATCACTTTTAAAAAAACAAATTAATGAAACAAATAACTTGATGATACCAGTAATATTCTTCACCGTGCTTTCGTGGTGCTCGACCTTTTGCCTAAGATTTAGTGCCTGGAAAATAAGTTTAACTTGGTAAAGAAGTTAAAAGTAAATTACAAAGAGAAACAGAAAAATAATGGACAGAATATGCAGCCAAATAAAGGATATGAAGCTTCTTTATAGAGATGGAAAATATCAGAATGAACCGAAGAGTTAATCATTCACTTTCACCGGCGTTTAAGGATAATTGGACATTAATTGACTTAAATTCTCTAAGAAACCGTTCGTTTAATCATCCGTTGCAACTCTTGATTGCCCCCACAACTATTTGTTGTCTTTCTTTATTTAAATTATTGAAAAATAATAAAAAGTAAAACAATGACAAAAAAGATAAATAGCATTCCTTGTTAAAGAGATACGCCATGTCATGGGGAAATGTCCCTGCATTATATATATATATATATATATATATATATATATATATATATATATATATATATATATATATATATATATATATATATATATATATACATATAACACACTAGTATCTATGAAGTGCGTTGCACGTTAATAATGACACATGATGATTCAAATATTTATTTATATACTAATGATTTTTTTTTACATATAATAATATAACAATTATCTAAATGCTGAAAATATTATTACATTAGCATAATATGTGAATTCGAAATGAAAGAACATTATCAGAACTTACACAGATGATCAATTTAGTCATGTTAATTAGATAATTATGTATTATAGTTTAAAGGTATTTAATGTGATGGTATCTTACGGCACACTTCTTTGTAGACGATATTTTTTGTGTATGTTTCCTTCTAATGCATTGGATGCTCTGCCATAACCAGGACTCTTGTTGTCGATATTGATATCCATCATAAAAGTGTAACATATAGTTATTCGTGTAAGAAAATATGTTGTTGCAAATATAGTCCAATATTTAGGATATTTGTCCTTATGCTTTATTTATTATAATTACAAAGCATAAACAGACTGAAAATTATTTTCGTACAAATTTAAAAGGATATTCTTTATTTTCGGAAGACGAAAGTTGAATTCGGAGATAAACACATACTTAGAAGCATATTGACCGGTATCATAATTTCTGCATGTATGATGTTATTTTTAAAACTTCTATATACCATTTGTGTACTATTACATAAGCTATTCGGGGGATCTAAGTTTGCATGACGGCCATATCTTTCTTCAAAATTAATCTTTATGCAATGAAAGATCAATTTTAACTTAGTCTATTATATATACGGTGACACTAATATACGAAGAAATGGTAGAAGGTCATTTGGTATTAAAGTATTCAAATATTCTTCTTGGTAGTAATTATTGGTATTATCTCCTGCTTAGTCAAAACTGAAAAATATTTTATTTTTATCATAAAACTTAGCAATCAACCTTTTATTTAGTAGATCAACATATTCATTTTTGCTAACTAAGATATCTCTTTAATTTCTATCATATAATTTGCACAAATTATATTTTAATCTAATGATGGAAATATTTTCCTTATTAAATGCACTGCTACTACCATTGGGGTTGATAACCAAGTGTTTTGGAAGAACTAAATCATCTTTTATTGGATGCTCTTCTTCGTTTCCGACACGAAACAAGAAGTCACTGAATGTTGAATTTGTTCTTACATTTATATTTCTTGTCATTTGAATCTTTTTCATTGAGGCCATAAGTATAATTTTGGCAAGCTAGCTCTTACAGTCTCTGTTTTTGTCGATTTTGGAACTACTGATAGTACTTGACAGATATTATCTCCCCAACCATTAGTTTTCCACCAAATAGTTCATTGATATCCAATATATTCCTTGAAACCTTGGACAATTGTTTCGAACGTTCGACGCTTAGCCATAAACGCTTTATCCCATATTATCAATATTGATTTCCTTATAAATTTAGCACTATTGCTCTATTTTCATATATTTATGATGGTTATTTCAGTTGTTTGAAAATGTATATTAAATCTAAAATGAGTTGTAATATCTCATAATAAAATGTTGCTGGTACCCGACTTGTTATTATTGCTAATGGTATCATGCCTCTTGATCTCATATTTGTAAGTAATGCATGATATAGAAATATTATTCGATTCCGCTGGAGGCATCTACAAAGGATAATCCACTGTACCAGAGGCGACTATTTATAATATTGTCTTGAAAGTTTGTTCTTGTTCGGGATTTAGCTTTGATTATGCTTCCTCAGATACTTTTATGGCCTTGTTAATACTATACTAAAAATAAAATTTGGGAGGAAAACTCTCTCGGCCCAGTTTAAGCAAGGATTGCTAAACTACACGGTCAGTAATGGCGAGGAAGAGGAAGAAGAGTACAGCAAAGGCAACAAACACAGAGAAAACAGAGAAACTAGATGAGGAAGATCAGAGGATAGTCACACCAGAAACAGGAAATCAGCAGAATTTGGAACCAACGCAACTGTTCCATTGGATGAAAGGTACGGGGAGTGCACCAACGATTATGCATAGACATGAGCTGAGG